CGTAAGGTTACTACCCGCAGGTTACGCGAGTTCTTGGATTGTGGAGCGACCGAGTCGCAGTCTGTTAGGTCATCACAATATAAGTAATTTTTATAGTAATTGTCACAAAATGCATGGAGTACCATTAGAGATAGGTTCAGTCAGCTAGGTCTACTTTAATTTCCATATGGAATATTGAAGAAGTCCATAAATCACCATCATTACATTAGGTTTCATGTTATAAATTAAAAAAAAATTTGTTAATCTTGGTATTTAATGACGCATCCAACATCTAGCAACAAGATGTTATAATTAATTTTTTAATATCCGTTCCTGGTTTTGCGCAACTGCGTAGCACGGCTACCTTATAGTAAATGTTTCTCATTAACTTTCTCATATTTATGTTTGATTTAATCAATATGTGCTTCTCATAAGTCTTTTATTAGGCTAATCTAGCTGGAAATTTATTAATCGATGTATTGAATGCACCTCTTATCTGTGCTGATTTGTTAATAAGCAATTTCCTTATTCGATCGATTCAGCAAATAAATGTAACAATTATTTATTAATTGAAATATTTATAATAAACTAAACCTATCAATATTTCTTACTTTTGCTAAAATATTATTGTTTATTACCGTAAATTCTCGAAATAGCGGTGTCATTTCGAATTTTGGTCGGAATTAAGCTTAATTCGGGCCAAATTCAAAATTGCACGCATGCCTATTATTTCGATAATTTACAGTAAAATTGATTTGATAACAATCTTATTTTTATAGTGGTTTGCTAAAAATTTATTGTTATTACGAACCATTGAATTTAAAATTTAAATTTGTAGCGGTTTGCAGAAAAGTATTATACCAAGATTTTCATAATTATGATGGTGGAATTCTTAATTTCAAGTAGATTATATAGTTTTTAATTATTATTGAGTTTTTCAAAAAGATATGACATCTGCAGAACACAATATCATGTGGGAATCGGAGACATGAATTTTAATAAATATAAATATAACCGATCGAAAATATGGAATGATAGACAATTTAGAATTTCGGAAATTTTCCCTGATCATCATTACAAAAACCATGGTGTTGTATCTATAGATGGGGTGAAATTACCCTTCTTAATAAAAAGTTTTGTTGAAATTTGTTGAAATTATTGAATGGTGAAATTGGTGAAATTAGTTTTTCAATACTTGAAACTAAGCTAAATTAAATAAGATAGGTATTTGATATTTAATTTATAGAAATATTAAAAATGATGAAATTATTATTGAAATTATTGTTGAAATTAAAAAAATTTCACCCACATCTATAGTGTATCCTTTTGAAAAGCGCGTAAAATGATTATGATAACGATTTTAATTCGATTAACGATTAAAACGATCAGGTACAAATGTAATATGTCAATTATATCGAGTTTGTGTTTAATAATGAAACAACTGATGCATCTATCAACTTCACATGCACTTTTTTTGAATATTTCAATTTAGGTTAGAACTGGAAGTAGCGACAAGCATAAATTTGTTAGGAGTTTTTTGTTGGTATATAAAAGGTCGTTTCATAGATGGGCTGTTGAGATAATTAAGATTTTTTTAGAAAAGCGTGATTGCTTTTAGAAGGTGGGTTTGTAATCTTAACGTTGTATCTACTTTTGTCACCCGTGACATTGGTCTATTGGGTAAAAGTACATATGTACGTGCGTAAATAATGCCAAAACACGTCTAATCTGATTATCTATTTGGAGACTTTTTCAAAGAAGTAATCTATGTAGCGTTGTACGGTGTAACTACCAAATGGATATAAATAATTGGTTTGTATTACGATCCATTGATAGTTAACAAAAATATGGGGATCATAAATAAGTATGATCGTGGGTTTGTTGAATTATGTTATGATTAATAGAGAAATCGTGACTAATTTTTAAAATAAGTAAAACTACAAATATGATTGTATATACAAATAATATTAACTAATATAACTAATACTAATACAATACTACTTACCATCGTTATGCGGGTAAATTACCACAAGAGACATTTAAAGGTATTATATATTTACTATTATTTACTAATCTACATATAATATAATTCGACTTACCATCTTAAAACATCAGAAAGGTATCGCTTATATACGTTTTTCTACTTTGCTGGTTCGAAACCTTCCCCGGTGGTTATAACCTCATTGATGGTTACAAACCACCTATGTTGTTCTGGAGGTTCGCAATCCCACAGCCGATGTGGCTTATCGACCCGTAATACAAAGAAATTAAAGTAATATAATAAGTAAAAAAATTTTTTCTAATAAATTTCCATATTAGGCATAACGACGGTGAGTCGAATTCGGTCAAAATTGGTTAAAGTAAGACCCTAATTTTATTTGATGATTAATTAATGCATATACAAATTCTACTGTTTTTTAGAAACTAAAGATACGTATAACTAAACGAGAATTTAAATGTCAACTTAAGAATACTATTTTATGTAAAAATTTGATAAACGTACAAAACGACATATGTATAATGTGTTTAAAATTTACAAAATCTAAAATTTTCACAAGTTTTTTTACATTCATACTAGACAAAAATATTTGTTAAAAATTTACAGTTAAAAAGTATTTTCATGAGAAAGAATTTAACAACAAACGCCTTTGACACTATTTGAGTTATTATACTTCCAGATATCATCTATGACAGTTCCATTATAAGGGTTAATTCCCTTATTATTGCTACAAGACAAAAAACAACCAATATCAACATCACTCGAAGAAGAAGAAGTTGAGTTACGTGGAAAAGGGTCTTGAACAGGCTCGTAAAGATCATAATCTAGATCTTGGATATCCAATTGTGTACGAGATTTTTTATCTTGTTCTAAATGTCTCTTGTGTTCACGATATATGTTGACATGCACACAAAATTCGTCATCATCATTTTCTTCTTCCTGCAGTTGTCGACTGTAAGCTAGTAATCTACTATGCCTAAGTCTATTGTTATTGCTTATATCTGAGACGATCGTTGATCTGTCGATCTGGGTTATGAAATTAATTATACTCGTATTTGAATCCATTCTTATGTATGTAGCGATACTGTTGTAGAATAGTGTTATCTCTTTTATTTTTTTTTTATTTTTATTTTTTTTTTTTCTTAAAAAAAAAAAAGAATCAAAAATGTTGATTTAAAATCAATTTAGAGTATTTTATACTTTCGAGGTGAAGTGAAGTACTTTCTCATGATATTTATTCTTTTCAGAGGTATGGCTTTTATTTCTTGAATTTACTTAACAAGAAACCTTCATGTCGTAAATGTAAAAGTTTTTTAGTTCATTGATATTTTTAGAATCGTTTGTGAAATAAGTTTCTGCATTACGTATGTATGTAATGTTACATAACAATAACGATCTGTATAATTCTACATATGTATTAAGTTGGTGTCATTTTTTTCCATATTTATATAAATAATTAAGGGGTATTTGATATCTTTTTATATAATTTGAAGTCTATGCCGCTCATTTCACAGACAGTCATTTCATAGATATCCTGGTTCAACAGACAATCATACTTATTTTGCAAAAAATCATTTTACAAACAGATTTTATGAATTAATTGTCTACGATCTAAGATATTTAAGTAATTGCCAATGAAGTAATGTGTATCCATTTGAAGTATCGAGTAGAGAGTACAGGAATATTTAACCAGAAGTATCTAACCGACAGCCGTCATGGCGTAGTCCCAAGATTGCAGTCATATGATGTTGTGTGACAGTCTATCGATTCTTTCACTCAGCGAAATTATTAAATTGAAGGAAAAAAGATTGACATATCTAAAGTAAATGTTGAATTGTTTTTTTGTTATTTTATTTTTAAATTTTTACATCTAGGAAAACCAGCCTTTGACGGTTGGTTTGAGTTTTTAAAAAAATGCGATTATTGTGTTACACAATATAAATTATTGATTTATTTTTAGATATACGTATATGTATTATAAATTATTTTTTTATACAAAAAAGATCACTTATTTGAGTTCGTCAAGTTTAATTGACAATTTTCTTATTGGTTATTATTCTATTTTTAGAAGAATTATAATTTCGAAGAACTATTAATTTATCATCGGATAAAAAATTTTAATTAACATCAAAAATCTTAAAATTGATCAGAAGTGCCAAAAGTTGGTTTTTCTAGTGCATTCCTTATATAGGATCACGATAAATTAATGCATGTATATGCAATGACCTGATCGGCCATTTCACAGCTTAAATTCATCGGTGCCGCTCACTTCACCGACAATCATTTCACTTAGTCGACATCAAGGGTTAGCGTCTTATTAGTTGCAGGAAGGCCTGCCAAAAAATCAATTAAAATTAATTTTTGCTATACATCATACAATTAAAATCAATTAAAATTATCATAAAATTAATTGAAACCCAATTAATGACGAAATAATTGCAATTAATTGCAATTAAATTCAATTTTCTTTCACTGGTGTAACCTGATCTTTTAAACAGCAAATCATATCGTATTGGTGAATATACGATATTAATCTAATTACGCAAAATTGCAATTAATTGACCAATTGTGACTGCGCCATCGATCAATTAATTGAGCTTGAAAAATCGCAATTAATTGCCCCTACAATCGATTATTCGGTAGGCCTGGTTGCAGGTATATATTTTTAGTAAATTGTCACTTGGTGTGATGTGGTGTTTCGTGATTTTAATGTTTTCTACATTTTGCTTTAGGGTTTTGTGATGACGCTAAAAGCTTATAAATTCATATCGATTGGAAAGAGACATACGGTAGATAAAGTATAAGTGTACAAATCGAAAACGATAGATCTTCACGTTTGTCTTGAAAGTATCAATAATCGTAGTTCCCTACAACAATTCTTCTGACAAAACATTTCCAATTCCAAAAAAATCTCTGACGATTATTCTATATTTAATGATAAAACATGAAAACATCTATTTTCATGACAGTTCATTTTTCATCCTAAAAAATTACTTTGATTATAACTTTATGGCCTTAACACTACTGTAATCCTAGATCTTAATCTCTTCAATATGCTTACCTCACGTCAGCTCTTTGAGCTAAACGGTACGCACTTTACAACTCATACGGCATTAAGTGCACAGAATATCCAAGAATCATTCTAAAACATACCATTTTCTAAGCTAATATTTAATTCAAATATTAAAAAATATTTTCATTTTTTACACAATTAGTTTCAAAAGTAACCCAATGTATCTACTTGCAGAGAAAATTTTTGCTACATTAAATTTGCATGACCAAAATACTTCTTTTTTTTTTTAACCATTTCATACATTCTTAGAACTAGTATATTTTCAATAAATACAGTATAACGATTATAAAGCTGTATGATCCATATCATCAGTGTCCACTTTTAAAGTAGCACCAACTTAATACGAAACATAATAACGATTATAAATTTATTTATTTCGCTGTATGGTAACATTACAGGTTTTCGGTGTCTTCTACTTGGCAATATGTGTCAATGACGGAGTTTTATGTACGTAGATAACACGATGTGTATTGATTTTATGGCAAGTTAAATGGTTTATGTCCACAAAATCTTAAACAACATTCGACAATATGTATGGCAGGATAAATTATATGTAAATTTATGCGCTTAAATTTCATTCGATGGAAATCGGATAAATATTTTCCAAGATTATTTATTCATGAGCTAAATCCCGATAAATAAATGATAAACATGAAAACATGAAGTCTCTTTCTTTTCTTGTGCTTTCAATACATTTTGGATTTTTATTTCATCCGTTTTTTTTACCGCATTAATATTAATAAAGCTATCCTTTTTTTTTACTTCCGACTATGTAGCTATTCTATAGTATTTATTTCTATAAATGGATGTATAATGTTTGATACTTATTATATGTGTCTTGTGTTCTATGGTTTGTGTTGCGGGCAATGCGTCGATCGACGAAAAAATTTCCTCGCAATTCCAAGAAAGAAACTTCATTTGTCATTTTATATCTACTTGCATGTGACCACATACATATCTGATATGGTTACTTTACGTACGTATTTACGAAAATTCTTATTTCTCTTTAAATAATATTCTTAAAACTATTCAATATTTTCTTATATCTAAAAAACAAGATTGAAAATTTAAATTTAATTAAATATGATCTATATTAATAATAGAACTACAGTATTTAAAAAATGGTTTACCAAAATCTTTATTCAAAGACTAGACTATATAATTATACAAACCAATTTTCTTTTTAATATTAACTTTATTGTTATTAAAAACGCTTTTATATTTAAATCATTTACAACATTATTAATTATTTTAAATTTCAAAAACTAGAAGCCTAAATATTATTTAAAATACAGTAAACCTCTATAATTGCACACTCTCTAAATACACACACAGATTCTGGCCCAAATGTATACATGATCTCTATAAATGCATTTTTTCTTATTGTTTTTTAATTGCATGTTATTAAATTCTGGTCCCAAGCGTATGCACTTAGAGAAGTTTTACTGTTTATCTAAAACTTTTAACAAAATTAATATAAACTAATTACAAAATGCTTGAAAACATCTATAAAATTCTGTATTTATTATTTTAACTTTCTATTTATTAGTTTAAAAATACAATATAAAAATTACAAAATAAAAACTATATATAAAAATTGTGTTCCAAATTGAGCCGGCTCAATTAGGCTTATCCTACACCCCATTGGCTTATTTAGGACTTATTTGACTTAAAAGCCATATAACATATGATATGTACAAGAATATCATATAAATTATACAAATAAATAATATTTTTATATATTATATAGTATAAAAACTAAATAGCTTTAATAAGCCAATGTGAATATTGAGAAAGCCTAATTAAGCTGGCTTAATTCGGAACACTATATAAAAATCCAAAATAAAAACTAATATATATAAAATCAACAATATAATATAATATCTAAATTTAAAAAATCTAAATTTAGACTTTTTTTACTATAAAAATATATCTACTACTAGAGTTTGAAACTAGTTTTATTTTAATATATTAAAACAAATTAAAACTAGTTTTAATACAGTTAAACACCTCTATAATTATATATATGAAATATAAAATAGCATAATTGTAAAGAAGTAGAACAATTATAGAGGTTAAATTTATTATATTTAATAATAAATTGTTTTTAAAAAATATATTATAAAAAAAAGTGTTTATATAGGAGGTGACTATAAAGAGATCAACTCTTTCTGACGATCCCTTGTACCAAATTTTCAATAACCAAAATTTCAAAAAAATCAGTTGTTAGAAATATACGAAGAAAGACAGTTATCTAATAAGTCAGCACCAGTTATTTAGAGATAGTTCTCATACGCTA